GCGCAGGCGGCGGCGGCGGCGGCTCGCGCTCGACCGCCGGGTCCTGGCAGCGGCGGGGGCGCGGCGCTGGAGCCCAAGCTCCGGTGGCAGCTGAGCCCGCGGGGCGCCGCTCGCCCAGCCGCGGCCGCGGGAAGTTCGGCCGCCAGAAGGACGACCTGGCAGGCTGCGAGCGCCCGCTCCGCGAGAGCCGAGTTTGCCCGCAGCTGCCCCTCCCCGTCTCCGGGAGCGGAGCTCCTTACCTGCCCTCCGCCCACCCGCGGGCCCCTAGCCAACTTCTCCCTGCGACTGGGGGTAACAGGCAGTTCTCGCCCTCTCTCCTGTCCCGACGGCATCCGTATGTCTTCGGACACCTGAACGCCCCAGTGTCGCCGAGGAGCCTCCCGGTGGGGAGAGGAGCACCGGTTCCCCTCGCACCGCACATCAGCGCGGACCGCGGACGCCTCACCTCCCGGTCCCGTCCCTTCCTTTTCCTCCAGGGGAGGAGGATGGGGTTGGAAACGCTTCCCCCGAGGATGCTCGTGTTGCTGGTGGCCTCGGGGATTGTTTTGTACGGGGAGCTTTGGGTCTGCGCTGGCCTCGACTATGATTACACTTTTGATGGGAACGAAGAGGATAAAACGGACACGATAGATTACAAGGACCCTTGTAAAGCCGGTAAGTGCCTCTCCAGGTCGGGACGGTGGCGCGCGGGGTCCGTCGCACTGGATTTCCGAGGGGTGGCGGTGGGAGCTCACCTGTTTCCTTCCCTCTCTCGCCAGCCCCTCCGCCGTCCCTCCTTCTCTTGCCCTCCTTTCCTTCCCCTCCCCACCCCCCAAGTGGCAGTCGCCGTGGCCCGAGTTGACTGGAGTTCTGTGCTAGTGGGATCGAACGCCAAGCTCCCATCTCCCAGTTTGGGAAAAACGTCCAGAGTTCGGATTCCCTTCCCCTCCCCCAGCAAAACGAAACAAGACTTACACACAGCTGGCTGGCCGTGGGTTTTAAATACCAACACTCAGCGGGCTATATGTATCTGGAGGGGACTTCACCTCCTCTTTGTTCCAGGGTGAGGTTCCCCGGTGCTCGCCCGAGACCCAGCTGGTTCGAGTTCCCCCAAATATGGGTGGGGGTGGGATTGCTACCTCGGGACACCTTTGCTTCCCTCTTTTGCCAGGGATTTCAAGTGTGGGATCCGGGCGAAAAGGGGATTGTGGGACGACCTTGGAAGCTCTCATGCTAGATAGAATTCGAATGCATTTGCCCATTTAAAATAAACCTTAAAAAAAATGTCCAAGTTGTTACCCCATTCAAACTTGCGCCTTCCTTCCTGTGTACGCCCCCTGGGAACCGCAGTTTGACCTGCGCTGCCTGAAGCTCAGCTTCCCCTCGCGGGTCCCCAAGCGCGCCGGGATCTTCCCCTCTCCCCCCAATGCGTCCAGCGCCTCTGCGGGTCCTCCTCCCGCTCGGGGCGGAGCTTAGCTCCCGCCGCCTCAGGTCGGATTCGCACGTGCCGCGGCCGGTGACCACGTGAGCGCAGCGTCCCGGGGGCTCCGGAGGCGCCAGGTCCCTGGCCCTGCGCAGCGGAGGTTGGGGTGACCAGAATTCAGTGTGGTGGACTCACGACCAACTTCGAAAGGAAGGTTACGAGGGGTGTTGGGGCCGACTCGGTAGGGTTGTTTGTAAGCACGTTCTGTCCCATCTCTAGAGGTGTGGGCTTTGGCGAAGCAGAGAGGAAGGGAGTGGGCAAAGTGCCAAAAGTGTGTCTGCCTGTCCGGATTCTGTGCGGGCTTGGTCGGTATGTGACTGCGACTTCTTCCCTTTTCATAGCTAGGTAAACCTTATTCAGCCTTTCTTGGTCCTGAAGGAAGGAGAAATGCACACAGTGAAAGAAAATGCTGGAAATTCCCTTGTTGCTTTGTACCGTTGATGACACATTGCTCTGACAAGGAGCGAATGTGTGCTGTGTGCGCGTTATCAGATCTTCCTTGGTGCCCTCTTACTGAAGATAGTTGTTCAAAACTTGGAGTAGCTTCGTAGAAACTTGTCAGTCTGGAGCTTGGAATTCTCATTTGATTCCATTTGGTTTGTAAGTTTCCTCCTGACACCTTTAACACTAAGTCTGTCCGGCCAGAAGTTTCTTGGGCCTTCCCTGGTGGTTTGGAGAAGGAGACATCATTCTGCCAGGATGGGTGACTAGCGACTGGACAACCAGAATTCAGTACTGTAACAACTCCCCAAAGCACACTTTTTATTGGGAAATTAGTTTTGAGTCATGTTTACAGCTGGGTGAAAATTGTGTACTTTCTTGTTTTACATAAGGTAGAAATGAAGTGTTTCTAAAGGTTGTCTAGGGAAACATCTATTCTGATGCTTTCTTGTGTGAAAAATTCAACCAGCTATTAATATGAAAAAACCAGGGCATATGTATCATGGGCTTGATTTCAGGACAATAAATATTGTTTTCCATACAGATTCAAGTAAAAGTTTATGTCTTTGAAAATCATTGACTTCAAATATGAATATAAGAAGTGTCAAAAATTAGTACTATTTTCAGAAATTATGTTGTTTTTAGACTTATGTTAGAAATTGTACAGAATAAGATTCGGCGAACATACTGGTTTTTTTGTTTTGTTTTGTTTTTTGTTTTCTACTTAAGACTGTTTTCAATTTTGAAATTTAAATGGTTGCACCATGTGTATTGAAATATGACTCAAGGATAAATATTTATTATCCTCAGTAAATAAACATCTAGAGTAAGGAAAAAAATTCTAAGAGCGTTTAGTTTTGTTTTTTCCTTTAATATTGGTTTATTGTTGAGCATAGCTGTTGAAGATAAAACAATGAAAACAACTTTGAATGGGTTATTACTCTAATCTTATTTCTTCCCTATCTTTGAGTACAAGAGGCATACCTGTGTGTATGTGTATGTTGTGTATGTATCATGAAAGAGAGAGAAGAATGGCACCAGTGGTAGGCTGAGAAGTATGTCCAAAATCTGAGATCACTTAAAAAAATTTTTTTTAATGTTTATTTGTTTTTGAGAGGGAGGCAGGAAGGGAAAGGGGGGGGGGAGAGGGGGGGGAGGGGCAGAGAGAGAAGGAGACACAGAATCCCAAGCAGGCTCCAGGTTCTGAGTTGTCAACACAGAGCCCCCATGCAGGGCTCGAACCCATGAACCATGAGATCATGACCTGAGCCCAAGTAGGATGCTTAACCAACTGAGCCCCCCAGGGGCCCCTGCCATCACTTTTTAAATGATCAACCCTACCTTTTAAAATTCAGTGACATGAAGGCTTTAATTTACCATCTTGGCTAAAGAGTGGCAAAATCCTTTTTGTTTTTCCCTTGGCCTCTCTTTTGGCACTATATAAGACAAGTAAAAGTTGTAATAACAGGAAAAAAATTAAATAGTACATTGAAATCCCAAACAAGAGTCAAAAAAAGTTCACTAAAATAAGAAAGATGAGGACAGATATGTGAAAAAGGCCACACAAAGCACGGAGGGTGCTCTCCAGATTCTGGGATACCTTTGTCTGCCCTTTCCAAGAGCAGAGTGGAGGACGTGGGCCATGAAATAAAGTGTCCTTCTCTAACAAGGGTCCTAATTTTCCTCAGACTATACAGTGGCTTGATGTCATAATGACTAATGAAACCATAATTTTCAGTTCAACACAACAGCCCAAATGGGTGGAATTTGTGAATCTTCCCATTACACAGATAGGAAAACAGATGCTCCATGAGGTCAAATGCTTGTTAAGATTATCCAGAACTTGATTTGAAGTCTCCTGGCTGCAAAACCTGCATGCATATAGACAGATAGACAGACAATAACACTGCATTCTTAGCTGGCCTTTTGGAGGTCTTCCTTGAAATGCAAACAATAGAAATTTGTCTGGGTTTACCTAGAGTCTAGACTAATAAAAGTGCAGTTACTTTCATATCTGGTAAGTATGAAATGACTAAGAACATAGTTTCATCTTATAAAGTCTTTGAGGTCAGAGGTCATAGCTGATTTTTAATATTTATCACAGGGAGATAGATTACCACTGTTGGTATCTAGCTAAAGTTCTTAATTCCATCTCGATATCTGTAGAGTATAAATGTTGATCTTCATTCCTCATCTACAAACTTCTATTTTAACCAGTAATTTGACTCAAGAAGAAATATAAATATAACATTAAAATTGTGCCATTCTTAATACATTTGTGAAATGGTATAATTTGTATATCCATGAGAACTCTAATTTCAAGTTCATGGGACAGAAAGGAAGCCTCAGGTTAATTTAATTGAACTTTCACTTAGACATTTGGGTATAAGCAAAAGTAGGTTAAGTTAGTACAGCACAGCTTCATGTATATTTATATAGCCAAATCTGTTAGGACAGAATGTAGGTAATTAATCTTTCTCTCTTTGTAGATAATCACAAAGAAGCAGATAATTCAAAGGAGTATCTGACTGTCTTTCTTCAGCGTAGTATGTAGTCCTCTGAGTTTGCAATCCTACTCTCTCTAGTTCAGAAGGTTCCTGAGGGACACCAGGAAGCTGATGCTGCAGGAAGTCATTCCAGAACAGAGACTGTTTCAGTGTTGTACTGTTCCATTCCATTCCAGAACATTCCCTTGTTTCAGTGTGGAACTGTTCCAGTAGGTGTTAATCTGAGTATTAATATCTATGAAGAGCCTGGGCAAATTCAGCGTGCAAGTTAAACTCTCAGATTTGTCTAGAGGTTCCCTGGAAAAACAGAAACCTGATAAACTCTGTATTCCCTGCCTTCCTCCTTTCTTTCTCTGTTTGTACTTAAGGGGGTATCTGGAAAGCTCAGGCAATCGAAATACAAGAGGTAAGAAGGGGGATTGAAGAATTTCTATTGTGAGTGATGGGTAGAGGCGGAGGAGATCGATGACATAAAATGTTTGTCTAGAAGATTTGTCCTTATCTTCTTGGACAAGTGTGAACACCCTGAAAAAAAAGACTTTCTACTTTGAATCTCCTCAGTAAATGACTCCTTTGCTTGGAAAAAATCCAAACAAGATTAAAGGTCAGTGACTTGCAAGGTTAAATTTGCCTTTAGAGTGGCATATACAAGCCTGTTTACATAGAAATAGGCTTTTGGCATCCTAAAGGATTCTCCTTTCCGCTTTTCTTTGCAATTAATGTCCCAGGGTTCTGGTATACTAATTCTTCATCAATTCTTCATGGGATAATTTTCATAAATTCATAATTTCTTGGTAAAGATCTTCTTTCTTTTGGTCCTCAGTGCTGTACTTTCTAGCTTCATTGCCAGCCTCTTAGGTATGAGGTTTTAGAATTTGATGTCCAACGCGGTGTCTACTTTATTCTATCATAGTATTAAATATTGAGGCATATATTTCTTGGTCAGCACCTCTCTAGGTTGCCAAACCCTCATGTTAAAAATGCATTTCGTAGAGTGGCTTCCCTTAACCAGCCTCTTCTCTTTCAGTTTTCATTCCTCAGATCTTGCTTTGTTCTTTTTTTTTTTTTTTTTTTTTTTTTTTTTTTTTTTTTTTTTTTTTTTTTTTTTTTTCCTTCTCCTGCTTCTGGTGCCAACTCAGAAGTGGCCAGAGTACAGTTTTTGCAAAAGGGATGGATAGACATTATATTCTATACACTTGAATTCTGTTCATCATTTACAATAGTAATTCTTTAGCCCTTGTCGT